TGTATTTTGGAGAATCTTACTATAAAGACTCTGTAGGTTGGCCACTTACTGATATGAAGATGTAGGAGGACAAATACTTTCTCTTACCTAAATGAATGCCAAATAACTTCAGCAGTTGGTTCCTTCTATCCCATTTTTTCTTATAAATGGAAACTCCACAAGAGCAATGACTGTGTTTTATATACCCTGTCAAGGTGTAGCGAATACTGGGAGTGTTTAATAAATAATAAATAGGAGTGAAATTCCCAAATAATAAAACAGACTATAACCCTATCAATTGCTGCTAGTGATGCAGAGGCTGCACTTAAAACTACCAAGGAAAAAAGAAGACATCCTTAACCATAATGTTCAGAAATGTAAGTTACATTTTGGTAAATCTTTTTCAGCAAAATAGCAGCACTATGTACTCACTGAGTATTTACTATATGCCCAGAATTGTGCTAACTGCTTTACATGCATGTCTCAGTCCATTTTTATTTCTACAAAGAATACCTAAGGCTGAGTAATTTACAAAGAAAAGAGATTTATTTCGCTTATGGTTTTCTAGGTCATACGAGAAGCATGGCACCATCAGCTCCTGGTGAGGGCTTCAGGGTGGATCCTCTTATGGCCAAAGGCAAAGGGGAGCTGGTGTGTAATCACAAGGCAAGAGAGGAAGCGAGAGGGAAGAGGGAGGAACCAGGTTCTTTTTAACAACCAGCTCTCTGGGAACTGATATAGCGAAAACAGTTGTTACTATGAGGACGGCATTAAGCCATTCATGAAGGACTCTTTCCCATGACCCGGACATCTTTTATTAGGTCCCATATCTAACACTGGAGGTTAAATTTCAACATGAGATTTGGAGGGGTCAAATAAACTATCTCCAAAATACAGCAGTGCATTATCTCATTTCATTCTTACAAGTTTCAGTTGATAAAAATTTATCTTCTATTTGATTCACAGAAACATGAGAAAGTACCAATAATATCCACATCTTAAAATGAAACAAATGAGAATTCAAGAGATTAAATAGGATGTCCAAGTTCATACATTCAGCTATTACATGCAGACCCGAATTCAAACCCTGTGTTTTCTAAGTCCCCAGTCAATAGTGTTATTCACAATACTACACACTCTTCTCCTCAACTTAGCACCTATAAGACTTGAATAATAATAGTTTTCCTTGTGAAATAATGAGGAATCTTATCATTTGATGGCTTAATAATACAAATCTTCACCTGTGCAAGGCAGACAAGTATTATTGGTCAAAGCATAAAGATGGGGTTTAATGAACAGAAATAATTATTCAAGAATCAGAAATGGAGCATGTCCTCTTGCTTGATTTCAGCTTTGTAGTCTAACATTTGAGCAATGATATATTTGATAGGACAACTGCCAATGGTAGAAAACTTGTTCAGTATTTAAGGTAACATTACCAAAGAGACAATCTCCTGCTGTGAATATTGAAATATTAAATTTTCCTTACTTTGTTGCCTAATAATTTGGGCAGATTATAAGAGAAGGAAGTGAGGTGGTCAAAAAGTCAGTGAAAAGCTTTATAAACTATGACCATTGTATGTTGTGCAATTCTGCATTTTAAATGTTTTTTAAAATTTATGCTGTAACTAGACTTTAAAAAAATAATTTATATGTAAACTTTCTCTTAGCATTCCTGCAGATCATCCTGTGTTACCAAACATTAGCTGGAGATAGTAGCTATAAACAGATAAAATTTGAGAAAATAATATAAAAACAGTTGTGTTTATTATACAACCCCGCATCTTTAGAATAGTGTTGATTTTTACAAACCATGCTTCAATCTACATCAAACATATGACATTGTGGTTATGAGAAAAATATATCGTTGATCAGAGTTTCAAATTTATATTTATCAAGCACCTCACAAAATTCTCTTTATGTTTAAATGCTTATCCCTCTCTATTATAGAATGCTGCTACACAAAAATATCAATTAGAATACTGAAGCAGTTATGAAAACTAAATAGAAAAATAATTGCAATACAATAAATTTTACAAAATTCTAACCAGAAGCAATTTTTAATTTAGTTTTTAATCTATTAAAAAGATTCTAACATGTAAGGCTTAGTTTGTCACGGTATGTGCCAAAATTACCTAATACTTCTTTTTCCAGAGATAAATTGAAATATAATTAATGTCACCTCAAATTTACATACCAATGTGAACAGAGAAGGAGAAGGGATGGTATATAAAATGAGGGAGAGTGGTTAGAAAGGTATTTTTTTATTTTTTCCTAAATAGTTAGCTTCTAATATATGCTTGAGTATATACATATATTTTTCTCTTTTTTAGCTATTAAGTCCCATTAAGAACTGTCCCATACTTTTAGAATGAGAGATTTCAAATGAAAGTAAAATTATTTTTTAAAAGTCTGCAGTACAGACTCATTATCTCTACTTCTTAAAAACAAAAATTAGAAACAAACATTTTAAAAACCTCTGGTACGTAATACTCTGCAAAGACTAAAGAAAATATGATTTTCAAATATTTGCAAGTGAATTTTAAGAAATATTAGTTCATTTCAAAAATCTACTTAGGCATACTGTATTCTCTTATAAACTACTGCTTGTAGCACAACAAATAGTTTACTACAAATGAATTTAAGCACAAATAATATATCATATACTACATGAAATAGAAAAGACATATAGATATAATTAGTGGCTTTCAAGAACACCTCTACAAACTTCAAAGAACATAGTAATTAATAAACAATTTCAAAAATAAAAAAAGGGATATTATCTAAAAATTGTAGTTATTAAATTTTATTTCTTAAGAACTAAAAACTGTTAAGAACTGATGTACTACACAATGACATTGATACTATGTTAAAATGATTCATAGAAGGCAGTCAAGACAGAGATTCAGAACTATTTTATTAGAAAAGTAATGCGCATTCATAGCAACGTTAGCTTTTATTTCTGTGTACTCTATGAACTTCCTAAAACCATTCTCCAAAGCTAACCATTTAAAACTCATTCATGTATTTTATTATGCATCCTACAACAAAGACTAAGAAGCAGGCAAGAATTACTATAAAACACAGTCTAATTACAGAAAAGTTAATTTATTTTTACAAGAAAACATTTTGAAACCAATTTTGTGTTTATTGAAGGATTTTTTTCATGCACATTATTGAAGATTTTTTTCTGTCAGAGTATTAGCTTCCTAGGATTGCTGTAACAAATTACCACAAACTGGGTACCTTAAAAGAGCAGAAATATATTCTCTCACTGTTCTGGATTCTAGAAGTGCAAAACCATGTTAGTAGGGTTGGCAACTACTGGAACTTTGAGGGAGAATCTATTCCACGCCTTTTTCCTATCTTCTGAGGGTTCCCACAATGTATCACTCCAATCTCTGCCTCCAGCATCATGTGGCATTCTCCCCTGTGTCTCTATCTTCTCTTTCATTCTTCTTTTGTTTTTGTTTTTGTTTTTTTTTTGAGACAGAGTCTCGTTCCGTTGCTCAGAGTGGAGTGCGGTGGTGTGACCTTGCAACCTCCACCTCCCGGGTTCCAGTGATTCTTGTGCCTCAGACTCCTGGGTAGCTGAGATTACAGGCACACACCACCACGCCTGGCTAATTATATTTTTAGTAGAGATGGGTTTTCGCCATGTTGGCCTGGCTGCTCTTGAACTCCTGAGCCTCAAGCGATTTGCCTGGCTTGGCCTCCCAAAGTGTTGGGATTACAGGCATGAGACACCATGACCGACCTATCTTCTCTTATAAGGGACACGAGTCATGTTGGATTAAGGGCTTGCCCTGCTTCAATATGACCTCATCTTAGCTACTTGCAACCACAATCACAGTATTTTCAAATAAGGTCACATTCTGAGGCTCCAGGAAGTAGATGAATTTTGGGGATGACACTGTTCAACCCAGTACCTTCAGTTTCTATTTAACATAAAAAATAATTCCCATACTATACTGGATGAAAAAAATGACTTAAGAAATAGGTGAAAGATTGTTGAACATATAAATATGATCTTTTATTTTCCAATCACATACAGAGATAAGAATTTTTTGGGAATATGTCTCATTCACAAACACGTATTATATGCAAAGAGAAATTTATTGTTCAAGTAGGATTCAGGGAATTAACCTAGGTGCATTCTCTTGTTTCTCTTTCAACCATATTGTTCTCCAGACTTTTTTTCGAATTCTGATTTCCCTGTAGGATTGTTCAGATTTAAATAAAGCCTGTAAAGCAGAAGTAGTAAACAAGCCTGGGTACTAAAGTTAAATATTACAGAGGTAGATAAAATAAGTCTGAGGAAAATTCATGTGTTTAATTCTTATCTATTTTGCCCGTGCAGTTATGCTGATGTTTCATTCACTTGGATTCACCAACCAAAAATTTGTAACTATAGTGGAGAATCTTTTTTCTGTATTTGAAAAAAGTGCACTGAGCAAATTAATAGTATAAATATTATTTCAAGGATAACTATTTAAGAGAATATTTATTTCTATGTACGGTTAATCAACATGCCCCCTTCCATACCCCATGTGCCCTTTGACTAATTATCTCCAACTCATCTTTCAGGTCACAATTCAAGTATCATGTTCTCATACCTCATTTCTGAAAATGGATGAAATCCTTACTAGATGCTCTTACAGTACCATATACGACCTGTTTGTAGTATTTACCACTGTGTCCATTTTATATTGATTTTTGTGGTTATAACTAACATAATTTTCCTCTACTAAACTCTATAGGACATGTATTGTGGGCCATGTATATTGTACTTACCTTTGCTTTTCTAATGACAAGTGCAGTACTTGCTGAATTACTGAATAAATCAGAAGTACATATTACTATAAAAAGTTGACATGTGAATTATGAATCAATCTCATCAATTTGTTAAAGAATCTTCTACCAAGTACTCTTTTCTTAAATAAACTTATACCCTTATTACAGTTATAATATCTTTGTAACAACATTAAGGGAGCATTGATTTTATTATATTAAATAGATAGTTTTCTATTTCAAATAGACTTGGCTGAATTATTTTGATTAGCTCAATTAAAAAATACAAGATTGTAATAAGAGACTTTATTACTTACAAAAGGCATTGTGAGCTATTATTAAAATAAATACAATTGACATGAAATATAAGTTTTGTGAAACAACTCTTTGTAAGGATTGTACATGTTTACCTTGAGATATACAAACAAAATGGCCCATATCATACGGAAAAATCCCTTTAAAATAATAGACTATAATTTGAAAGATGAAATTTTATCAATATAACACATATTTAAACTAATATTTTAAAATTTAAAATTTGTAAAAAGCGTACATTTGAGAAAGCTATAGTAATTATTCACAAGTAAGGACATTAAAATTCATTCCATAATCATCATTATTTGAGCCAGAGAAAGACTGATGCAAATTGGAATATCTAAATTCAAAATTTAGGACATGCAGATATGATTATAATATCTTTCTCTTTGGCAGCCTGAGTTTACATATTTAAATAAACCCAACTATTATTTTTTAAAAATGTTCCTGGCCAGAGGAAGGATTGCATTTCAAGAATCCAATATGATGCAAAGATTAACACATATTTCCAGTCTTGAGGTGCTGCTGCTCCCTGAGTGTAAATTTCTCTGTCATGTATTTCCTACAGTTTCTTTTTGAGGGGAAAAAAAAATGCTAAATGCTATCAATTTTCAGACTGTCCCACACTTAAACCTATATCAAGACATTCAGGAACAAAACATGAGTAAAGATTAGAGAAATTGTGAGAAAAAATTTGAAGAATAAGATGATTGTAACTTATAATTTGACAGCTGCTCTAAGCTTGGCTGAGCGCCCTCTGGGGTTATTTTGTACATCCTGATCTTGTGGACTAAGTACCTTCTTGTGTATCAATTCCCACATTAAAGGAGCTCTTCTCATAGAGACTTCTTCTGTGTTTTCATGACCAGAACCCAACTGCGATGTTTTCATCACTTGCTGTCTAACACTTAGGTTAAATCTTTCTGTCATGCTTATTCCAAGCAAAAATCTTTTGATGATGCGATCCTCTAGTGAATGGAAGGAGAGGGCAACAAGACGACCACCGGGTCTCAGAAACTTCTGAGCTGTCTTCAGTCCTGTGTAGAGTTCATTGAGCTCATTGTTCACAAATATGCGAAGAGCCTGGAAAGTCTTGGTGGCAATATGGGTAGATCGCTGTAGTAAGTCTTTCCGTGCATAAATAGCAGAGGGAGGAAATGCACCTAGGAACACATTTTGTAAAGATAGGAAAAGAAGACCGGTAATATTAATATTTTTCACTGTAAATCTAATGAATTGTGTAGTTGTGTGCATATTTAGTGAACTAAGTTTTCTTAGAAAATTGTGGTGGCATTTCATTCATACTTTCCCCTATTATTCCCAAGCATTCTTCCAAGGTTTAAAACTATGTGGCAAAAAAAACCTTTCATAACTCATAAGGATAATTGGAATTTAATAGGGAGCACAGAAAGAGAAATGGTGGACACATATTTAAAGAAATGATAACAAAATCCTTCTCAAATTTGGTGAAAAACATTAACTCAAAGATGGCTCAATGAACCACAAATATAATAAACAAAAAAAGGCTGCACATAGGCACATCATAAAACTACTATAGCCAAAGATAAAAACAAAAAAAAATCATGCCAACAGAAAAGAAAATTCATTACATAAAGAAGAACAAAAATATTATTAACAGCTAAATTTTTATGAGCACACTGGAGGCCAGAGGATAGTGGAATAACATAAACAGTGTTGAGAAGAAAACTGTTTACCATGAAGGCTAAGTCTACTAAGATATTTATTCAAAAATAAAGGTTCGAAGACATTTTAAAAGAAATAAAAAGTGAGACAATCCACTGTGAACAGGTCTGCATTCAAAAAATTGAAAGGAAATACATTAAGCTGAAATAAAATGAGGGCAGGTGATCTTTTGGATACACAGATGAGAATGAAGTGATAAGGCCATAGGTGTAAAACATTTTTGAAATAAATTAAAGACTTATATAAATGGAAAACTACTGAATGTTCAAAGATCGGAACACTTAACTACTGTATGTTCAAAGATTGGAAGATGGCAATACTACCCAAACTGATCTAAGATTCAACGTAATCCCTATCAGAATTCCAGCTGACTTCTTTGTACAAATTAACAAGCTGATTTTAAAATTCATATGAAATTACAAGGCATCCAGAACAGCCCAAATAATCTTGAAAAAAAAAGAATAAAGTAGCAGGACTTACATTTATGAATTTGAAAGCTTACTACAAAGCAATGATAAGACAGTGTGGTACTGGCAAAGCAGTAGATATAGAGAAAAATAGAACGTAATTGAGAGTCAAGAAATAAACCCATACCTATACAGTCAACTAATGTTTGACAAGAGTGCCAAGACCATTCAATTGGGAAAAGTCTTTTGAACAAACAATGCTGAGAAAATTGGATAGCCACATGTAAAAGAATGTAATTAGACTCTTACATCACATACAAAAACAAACTCAAAATGGATCAAAGACCTAACTGTAAAAGTACAAAGTATAAAAATCTTAGAATAAAACATAAGGCTAAACCTTCATGACTTTGAATGTTGCAAAAGATTCTTACATATGACACCAAAATCGTGAACAACAAAAGAAAAATATAGATAAATTGAACTTCATCAAAATTAAAAACTTTTCTCATTCAAATGACACCATCAAGAAATGAAAGACAAGTCAGAGAATGGGAAAATATTTGCAAATCATAAGTCTAATAAGGGACATATATCTAGAATATATAAAAAGAAGTAAACTGCAGAATACATGTATATTATTTATATCATATTTTAAAACATGCATATCAAAATAGATATGTTCCATCTACTTCAATAATTGAGATAAGCAAAAATTACTAATTTCTAAATAAACCCATAAATATAATTTTCCTTAAGCTTATAACCACTGGCACACAAACAAGATATTAAAGTATAATGTTCAATAGATTTATACACAAATTTTTCCTTGATTTTGAACCATATTCCTGAAGAGTATTATCCCGTAGAGAAGCAATGTTTCTAGTACAAATTTGTTCTTAATGAACATCTCAGAAGATAACTTCAATCTTGGCATTTTAATCTCCTTAGCATGTTTCTTAAAGAAAAGTTAATTATACAAGGCTGGCACCTTAGTTCACATTTCAGTAATCTGAACACCTAGTAGTAAAGTTCAGACATAGCAGATTAATCTTCTATGGGAACTAAATCAGAGAAGGTGAGAAATCTTGCATGTATCAGAGAACTGAGAACCTGGTGGTTTAAAGTAAACCAAACTAGTGTGATGGTTCTCTCTTTCCTCTACAAGAATTACTTTGCCAAAAGTGTAGAGAATGTTAGACACTAGGGGATTTATCTTCCAACAACGAGGTCTCTCAGGAACATGAAGTCAACATCAAAACTGAAGAGGAAGGTCAGCTTCTTACCACTTGCTATTCAATTCCTCCATTTTCCTGACAGAGTATGGGTCACTTGGAAATGTGTTTCAGAGTATTCTAAGAATCTGAACAAACATGCAACTATTTACATTTTGAAGCCTGGACTCAGAGGAAGTGTCAAAAAGGTTGCATTCCTTTTTTTATTTATTTACTGTTATTTTTATTATACTTTAAGTTCTAGGGTACATGTGCACAATGTGCAGGTTTGTTACATATGTATATATGTGCCACGTTGGTGTACTGCACCCATTAACTCATCATTTACATTAGGTATATCTCCTAATACTATCCCTCCCCCATCTCCGCACCCCACGACAAGCCCTGGTGTGTGATGTTCCCCTTCCTGTGTCCAAGTGTTCTCATTGTTCAATTCCCAACTATGAGTGAGAACATGCGGTGTTTGGTTTTCTGTTCTTGCGATAGTTTGCTGAGAATGACGGTTGCCAGCAGCATCCATGTCCCTACAAAGAACACAAACTCATCCTTTTTTATGGCTGTATAGTATTCCGTGGTGTATACATGCCACATTTTCTTAATCCAGTCTGTCACTGATGGACATTTGCGTTGGTTCCAAGTCTTTGCTATTGGGATTAGTGCCGCAATAAACATACGTGTGCATGTGTCTTTATAGCAGCATGATTTATAATCCTTCGGGTATATACCCAGTAATGGGATGACTGGGTCAAATGGTATTTCTAGTTCTAGATCCTTGAGGAATTGCCACACTGTCTTCCACAATGGTTGAACTAGTTTACAGTCCCACCAAC